TAATCATTATTATTAAACATTAAGTATTAAGAGCCTTTATAAGACTTTTATATTAAGTAGTATTAAGCAATCGTAGTAGCGATATTCCGAGTTCCTCGATGTAGAAAAGAACATCGTATTAAGGTACCTATAACCTAGTTAGCTAATGATCGTAACTTTATTAGCACCTAATAACCGGCTATTAAACTAGCCTTTACTTACCGGGCTTATAACCTATTAAAGATTACGAGCCATTGAATTGAGTAACCCTACCTAACCCCTAAGGGATAGCAACCTAATTATACACCTAATACGCCGACATCGGTCATGCACGATCTTACGCATAGAGCGTGCTTTAACAAGCCTGCTTTGCTGGCTCCGCGAAGGAGAACCAAATACAAAGCTCGTACCAACCGACGCCGGCGCTGATTGGCTGCACCGCCATCCTCGCTCGTTTGCTATATACCATGAAAATAATGAGATAAAAATATTATTATTGTTGCCGGGTGCTGCTTGAAATGTCACATCGACATTCTAGCATTGAATCCACTCATATCTCTTGTCTTTTCGTGCGCATTCACTCACAGGCCATAATCTCCCGAATCGAGCAGGCGCGTTCCGATCGTTCCTTCTTCGTTCCCTTCTTTCGGCTGCTCCCTGGACTTTGCTCCCGTTGCGTTCTAGTACGTTTCAGGCGACGACTACATGCACATGCCACGTGACTGTCAAATGCTGTGGACATCCATGAAATGGAACACTCCATGTATCTTACTACCTATACAGTACAGTACTACCTTATGTAGGTGTGCAATAGTCATCCTCCCAACCAACACAGCCACTGTCAAGCCAGGCGATTAATGCAATCACTCCAATACCTCACCCTCGCCCTCCTCATCGTCACTCAAGCCCGCCATCTCAAACTTGCCATAAACCCTGTTTCCCTCCCCATCATACGTCTTCGGCGCCAAATCCCTCACAGCAAGCTTCACCTTCCAACTCTCGCTTCCATCTTCCTCCTTCTCGACCAACTGCACTGTCCGCGTCAGCATCTTAGGCTGCCAACTCGTCGCCGGCGAGCACACGAGTTCGGTGTAAGTGACGTAATCGCCACTGCGCGCTTCGTCTTTCGCAAGACTCGCAAGAGTAGAGATGTCTGCGGGCAAAGGAGGGAAGTCGTCGACCGGAGCGTTGGCGT